GCTGGGGACCCTGCACTGAGAGGGTGGTGGGCGAGCTGAGACCTGTGAAGGGCAGTCACAAGGAGTGGCCCAGATCTGGGGAGGAGGGACAGGCCTGGACAGCAGGAACCTGTGCTGCCCGAGGGGCTGGGGGCTGGACCTGTCTGGTGCTGGCCCCACGTGACCATCACAGGACACCCCTGGGCCTCCCTGCCCCTCACAGGGGCCCAGATTCCAAAGCCCAGGTAGGGGAGTGGGGGGGGAGGCTGTGAACTCAAACTCAAGCTTAGGGTGGAAGCGGTGACCCTCAAGTGGAAGCTGAGACCCCGACCTCAGTGGCCACTGGGATCCCTAAAATCAAGTCTGGGGTAAAAGCTGGGACCCCAGCCTCGCTGGCAGCTGAGACCTGTCTTCCGAGCTGGCTCTCACGTCTGGGCTTCAAGTGGGAACCCAGCCTCCCAGGGTTTGATTGAGGGGCTGGTGGGTGGGTGGGGGAGTAGAGCCCTCTCCATCCAGGACACACAGCCCTCCACCCACCACCCCCACCCTGGGACCCAGTGGAGGGCTAGGAGACAAAGAAAGCCCTGTGGCAGGTGTCCCCAGCAGCATGGGGAATGGGTGGGCGCTGGCCAAGGCTGGCTGGGAAGGTGATGGGCATGGAGATCTAAGAGGGGGGTGAGATGGGGAGAGGGGTGTGTCTTGTGCTGGAACCCCCACCTTGGGGTGGGGTGGGGTGGCTGCCTGTAGGTTGTCAGCCGCATCTGAGTGAGGCCTGGACTGGGTTGGGGGCAGGAGACAGCAGCCCAGCCAGGCGGTGCCCTTTTGCCCAGGGACCTTGATCCAAGCTCTGCAGCCCCGGGCCCCCAGTCTCCCTTCCCCACCCGTTCCTCCAGGCCACCTGACAAAAACCAGCTAGGCGCCGGGGGTCAGGGACACCAAGCTGGGGGTCCAGACGCCCCCCTCACCCCCTGTCCCTGCCCCTGGTCTGTATGCCGGGGTCCCTGGCCTGCCTCCTGGCCTACAAACATGAGGTATTCCCACCTAGGCTGGACAAATGGGCTGGAGCCCCACTGGAGTGAGTGCGGCTTTGCTGGGAGTCCCCCTCCCCCATGCCAGGCCTCTCCTGCCACCTCTCAATGCATTTCAAAGGCTGGGCGGGTATCCTGCAGAAGCTGGGCCGCATCTGTCCCTGACCCAGTATGGCCGCCCACCCCAGAGGCTTGTTGAGCAAGGCCGGGCCATCCATTACCATGGGGAGCTGGGTCCATAAATGGCCCTTTATTGTAAACATCCGCTCAGCGGGAGGCTTGCAAAGCCGGTGCCTTCCAAGATAAAAGGCCTGGTTCCCAGGGTGAGGGTGGGTACGGGGGCCTGGGCACAGAAGGCCGGTGGGAACATTGGTGGGGGAGGGAGTGCCGCTCTGGGGTGCTCTTTGCATGAGATTCCACTTCAAACAAAGGGCCGCACTGCCACCCCCACCCCTCTGAGGAATCCCTGGAACGGGAAGGGGGCTTAGGGTCAGGCCAGGGAACATGGGCCCTCAGCCTGCCTGTCACCACCTGCCAGGAGGCAAAGTAGGTTCGTCTGTCCAGGAGCCCTGAAACCGGCCAGGGAACATGAGGCGGCCAATCTGACCAGGCCTGTGATGGCCAGAGCTCTTCTCTGCAGTTTGGGGCATCCCCACACGCACGTGCACAGCCCCCAGGTGTGAGCAGGGGCTGCAAGTGACCAGAGGATCTCCACAAGTGGGTACACACACACACACACACACACACACACACACACACACACACACACACACACACACACACACACACACACACAGAATCCAGCTCAGAGCGCTACAGGACCCCCCACCCCCCATCCCTGTCTCAGAGAGCAGACTGTGGGTCAGTGTCACACTCCCTGAGCAGGCGCCCGAGCTCTGGGGTCAGGAGAGGCTGCTGCAGATTAGCCAGCAAGTCCAGGTCTGAGCAGGGAGTCACCCCTGGGATGTGTTTACTTTAGGCCCCGACCTGGGTCCCTGCTTTTAAGGCTCTGGCTTACAGAGAGGCCTGCACCACAGTCTTGGCGCCCGGTGGTCAGAGCACTGGCTTTCAAAATCCCCTGCCGCTGGGGTGTTGGGAGGGGCAAGGCCCGGATGGCACTCCTAAAGCCGGGCCTGGTGGGCAGGGGCTTGGGCAGGCGCTGTTCAAACATAAATGGGAGGCCCCCTCTTGCCCCATTTTCCATGGGTGTGAGTGTACACATCTATGTGTGTGGGTGTTGGTAGGTGTGAGTGTGTATATACAAGTGTGAGTGTGTGTACACATAATTTGTAGGTGTGTGAGTGGGTTTATGAGTGAGTGTATGCATTTATAAGTGGGTGTGTATGCATGGATGTGGGATGTGTATTTGTGTATGTGCTGACGTGTGTGAATGCAGGCATGTGTGGGTCTGGATGTGTACGAGTGTATCTGTGTGTACGTGCGAGTGGTTTCCTTTGCATCTGTGTATATGTGTGCGTATAGTGTATGACAGAATGTATGTGTGTGTGTGTGCACGTGTGTTTGTATATGGGTGAATTTGTGCATGTGGCTATGAGTATGTCAGAGTGTACATGTGTGTGCACATGTACCCGTGTGTATGGGTGTGATGGGGTTCATTTGTGCACGTGTACATGTGAGTGTGTGTCTATGCATGGGTGTGACTGAGTGTTCCTGTGTGCATGCACCTGGTAGTGTGTCTGGCTGGCCATGCATGTTCACGTGGACATGGCGCTCCTATAGGTGTGTGTCCACGGGTCCCTCGGAGTGTCTATACCCTGACACCAGCCATGGCCCTGTCACCACTGTGCGTTGGGGGTGGTTCTCCGGTGGGCCTCATGGGGCCGAGTGTTCCCAGAGGCACCTCAAGGGCACCGTGTGTGCCCGACCCACAGGGACTTAGTGATCCCAGAGGGTGAGGACATGGGGCTGGACCATACCAAGGGGACTGCCCTGCTGGGCCCGGGCCCCCTTCTCTGTGGACATGGAGTGGCAGGAGAGCTTAAGGGGCCTGAGCTGGCTTCCCACATCTTCCCAAGCCCCCTCTGTTTCTGGGTTTCCATTTGGGGATGCTGGCCGGAGACAGGGGGCGTTCACAGTGGGGGGTGGGCAGGAGGTTCTGGTTCTGGAGGGCGCTGTGGTCTGCGCTGCTGGTTCATCGCAGGGCAGCAGGACACAGGGAGGCCCTCTTGTTGCTGCCCCTCCTACCTCTCCCTGCCCACCCCCCTTATCCTCACACCTCTCCCCCCCACCCCCCTGGACCCCACTGGCCCTCCTCCAGGCGGCCAGGAGCCAAAGGGGGCTTCCTGGAAGGCCGGCCACCTGCAGGCAGTTTGCTGGAAGGGGCCTGACTCTCTGGGGCTCACCCCCGCCCCCACTCCCCATTTCCTAGAAGCGTGGACACTGGCGCTGTCAGCACTGCCCGGCACACAGAGTGTGCCCTGTGCTCCGGGGCCCCTCTGGGCCGGTGCTGCATCACCCGACACCTGGCCGGATCACTGGGCTGGTGTGTGCGTGGGAGCCGTGCAGGGCAGGCCACAAACAGCAGCTCCCCCCACCCCCCCACTCCGGCGCCTGCAGGCCTGCACGGAGAGCCAGCACGGGGGCCCAGGCGCCGCTACAGGCCTGAGGGCTGGGCCCGGAAAACAGGCCTGGTGTTGCGACACGTAGCAAAAACCAGAGCTGCAGGGGCAGGGGGCAGAGGGCAAGCAGATAAGGGAGATTAGGGGCCTGAGAACTTGAGCAAGGAATCCACCCCGCCTGGGGGTGGGGAGACCACCGAGGGGCTTGCCTTTGTTTTTTATCAGGGTCTGGGGGCTGTGTGTTCCATTTTAACATCCCCCACCGGCAGGGCTCAGCGACCGCCAGTCAGCCCTGCCCTGCCCCACGCCAGGCAGCCCCCCTCCCGCTGTGCCAGAGACCAAGTGGTGTGAGGGGCTGGGGTGGGGAGTGGAGGTGGGGGGGCTCTGCCCAGTCCTGCCCCTGATTGCTCCTTTGGACGTTCAGACACCGGAGACCTCTCTGTTGCTGCCGCCGGGTGACCAGGCCTTTCTTCCCCACGGGTGACCCAGGCCTTGAGTCACCGTTGGCCCCCAGCTCAGGGCCAGATCATGCAGGCATGACCATGTCCCCCGTGTAGCCTAAGCATCACCTGCGGCCATGCCCATCGCTCTTCATAGACACTGCGTGTCCGTGTCTGCAGGAGGCCATCCTCTGCCTGCCCTGGTGGCCACTCAGAGACCCAGGCCACGGTGGTGACCCTGGTGGGCTTCTTGGGCTTCCCTTGAGTTCATCTTCTCCTCGCCGACAGACAGGCCCCTGGTCTGCGGCACTTTCAGGGCGTTTCGAA